CAACATAATGCTGGGCTGCATTAACAGAGGGGATAGAATCAAGAACACGTGAAGAATTAATAACACTTTACAATGCCTTGGTAAGGCCACACTTCGAATACTGCATCCAGTTTTGGTCACCACGATGTAAAAGAGATGTTGAGACTCTAGAAAGAGTACAGAGAAGAGCAACAAAGATGATTAAGGGATTGGAGGCAAAAACATATAAGGAATGGTTGCTAGAATTGGGTATGTTTAGTTTAATGAAGAGAAGGACGAGGGGGGACATGATAGCAGTGTTCCAATATCTCAGGGGCTGCCACAAGGAAGAGGGAGTCAAGCTATTCTCCAAAGCACCTGAAGGCAGGACAAGAAACAATGGATGGAAACTAATCAAGGAGAGAAGCAACCTAGAACTAAGGAGAAACTTCCTGATAGTTAGAACAATTAACCAGTGGAACAACCTGCCTCCAACACTGGAAGTTTTTAAGAAGAGACTGGATAGCCATTTGTCCGAAATGGTATAGGGTTTTCTGCCTGAGCAGGGGGTTGAACTAGATGACCTCCAAGGTCCCTTCCAATATTATTATTATTATTATTATTATTATTATTATTATTATTATTATTATTATTATTATTATTATTATTATTATTATTATTATTATTATTATTATTACCATAGATCACACAGTATGCCTTTCACAACAGAAAAGGCAAAATATATCTTTCCTTTACATTTTAGGGTTATGCCCATAGCAGTTTCAACATCACTATTATTCATGTATTAAACTTATATGCCGCCGATCTCGCCAAAAGTTTGAAAGATAAACGGAGTGTCTCAGGGTTCTTCCATTTTTCGCAACATATGGCATATCACTTAGAGCTAGTTCAAGGAATGCACAAGAAAAAGAGTCATTTTTTTAAATTAATTGGTTGTCCCTGCAACTCTCTCCTAATGTATTTAAGATAAATTTCTGTAGCAATGTAGCGAGATGTGTTTCAGAGAAATTCACAGTCTTCAAAATACCTGGATATTCTTCCTCCTAAAATCCTCTAGAGTTGCTTCATTTATCCTAAGATAAAATAAACTCAAACTATAATCCTCTCCTGCAGAAATTTTTCATTACAAAATCAAATCTACATTGGAGATTTCACATGGGTGAGGAAAGTTGATTAGCAAGGTCAAACAAGCATGTTAGGTGAGTGCATTTCAATGAGAGCCATCAATGCAGCAGCAGTCTTCAGTCATTCATACTCCTGCTTAGACTCTTACTATCAATGATTTTTAAAGTTACTGAATGTTATCATCCTGTCTTTTAAAGTTACTGAATGTTATCATCCTGTCCCACAGAATAGAAATATGCAGTTCTGATTGATTTGCTTTATCAATTCAGTAGCTTGATTTGTTAGTTCAAAATAAATGTAATTTTTATACCAAGATTTTATTGATTTCCATAAATAGGGTACAAATGTTCCATTCAAAGGATAAGAGAAACAGAAAATGAGAGGAAGAAAAGTAGAGCGAAACATAAGAACTAGTGTTTCACATTAAACTGTACTTATATGTGATAAATCTGCTATAAATGATGCTGCCATTAAGATTGTGAAATTCCTGATCATGTCTCTCTTGTCTTCTCTGGAGCCTCTTCAGCTTGCTTTCCTATTCCCTTTCTCCCTTTTACTCTTGGAGGATGAGATGACATAGAAACCAGGTGCAGCCAAAAATGAGATAAGGATGTAATCCAATTATCTTATCTGTATCTCAGTTCTATGTATAAGAATTCAAGAAGGCATCTGCCTGATCTGACCTAGTGAGACGCTATTAGCCCCACAAGGTAGTCCAGACAAGAAACACAATGAGGAATACTAGCTCTATCTTTTATTGTAATCATACATTAACAGAATCTTACAAGAAAGTATTTCTTCCCTCCTTTCCTTTTAACTGCCCAGAAAACTAGGGAGGGTCCATTCTGAAATGTTTCCCATGCCCTCTCTCCTTTTCTGAACTCAGATAACTTTTGCCCAGTCTGCAGTTCTCCTTCCCTCCTGTTTCACAGTCTAAAGTGAAACTTTCTTGATATTTGCATTTGGTTTTTTAAAAAAAACAAAAACTTATATCTGTTCCAAACAATGATAGAAGGCAGTACAGAATATTAATGGAAGTCATCATCCTTTTATATTCCAATATCTTTCTAAGCTATACTTGACAGCTCTTCTGACAAATCATTCTGTTCCTGTATGCAGTAGAGAACCTTGAGTTGGTTGTCAATTTGGCAGTCTTACAAATTCAGTAAATAAATAAACATCACCGAATCAAATATTCCCGAAAGAGTTTAATCATGAGTACATGAAATTCTGCATTCATCATGATAATGTGAATTCAGGCTTAGTTTTAGAAGCTGCTTGAGGAAAGGCTGGGAGAAATGTTAAGTGAATGGAGGAGGCTTCTAGTCACTTGTACATTTGCTTTTCAAGACAGACCATTTCTGAATATTCAACAAAAAAATCTCTTCTATAAGGTATTCCGGCCTTCTCCAAATCTTCAGAAACTATTGGAATATGGAAAGTAGTACATAATTTATGGAGAACAGCAAACATCTTCAAAGAAAACATTTTACCTGCCACAAGACTTTACTTCAAGCAAACTACTTTAGAAGAGAAGCAGCTTTCATTTTCCATACAGATCATATTACACAATTTTTGTGGGAGGAAGACATGCTTTGCTAAACTTTGCCCAACTTTTCAGCCTCTTAGTTAAAAAGTCAAGTAGGAAGAGCAGTTTTGAACTGAGAAACAAGCAGAGAAAGGAAGAGTAAGGAATGCTGTTTCTTGTGCTCCCTCCCCTTTCTCTGTCCAGTGAAAGACTCCAGGGAATTCCCGGGATTAGCATTTCAACTCCAGACACTTCAGCCAACATGAAAAGAGAAAGTAAGGAAGGAAGGAACTTGGCCACATTCCTGTGGAAAACAAGAATATGATATTGCTAATGCTTATTTTAAGGACACTGCATGTTTTTCTCTTACTTGTTGCCACAATGAAGCAACTTGAGTGAAGCAACTTCTGTAAGTGATTAAGGAAGGTACTTAAGATGAGCAACGCTTCCTAAGTGTGAAAGAGTAGGCTGCTTTGAAAAACTGCAGGTACCTGTGCTGCCTTCACCCCAGGGCCGCACAGCAGAGTTGCCAATAAAGCTACAACCTTGACACAAGTGTGGGAAGAGATGGGGGGAGTATGGAGGAAACAAATGTTCTGGAAGCTCTGCATCCACCAGCAAACTGAATAAAGCAGCCAAATAAAAGATGTTTCTCTTTCAAAGAGCGTGAATGGTCCAAAAGAAAAGAAGTATAGAACTACAGCAAAGAAAAATCAAGTATAAAAACACAATGCAGGAAATTGTAAATACGCTCCATACTGGCCAATGATAGAGAAGAAAAAAGCAGAAGGCAGAGCAGTGTTGGTACAAAGAAAACATTATTCCATAATAGCATCACTTGTAGCGTGTAGTATAGTAATACTAGGCGAATAATACTTGTAATTGTTACAAATATTAGTGTAGTGATATAGAAATAATAATAATAGACTATAGAATTGAGGCAATAGAAAACACGTATAGTTTTGTATGTTTTACATTTCACTTTTATATTTTGGTTGTTTCCCAACCCTTAGAGGGAGATTTATATTCAGTGTTTTCGTGGCTCAGGAGAGATATCCCTGTTTATAAAACATATTGTAAGCTGGGCCAATTTGTATTTGGGATCAGCTAATTATTTGATATCATAATTCCAACCTAAATCTTCACATTTCTGTATTTGCATAGAGATGGCACCATATATTTTCTGTATTTGCATAGAGATGGCACCATATATTTTCAGCATTTCATAGTTTCCCCTTTTCTGATCTTTACTTTAAGAGGTCTCAGTTTTAAATATGGTGCATATGTGGTGAATGGGAAACAAACAGAATGTTGAAAGGCATAAATCACAGTTTATTCCTATGCCTTCCTTTCAACATTAAAAAATGTGAATGGCATTTTTTGAAGATCAGAATATATTTGTAATTGGACCTAGCCATGGAAAATATGCTTGCATATGTTTGCTTGATTTGCTTATTTCAGATACCTTACAAAAATCATTATCTAAAATGGGATTAACACATACTTCATAGATTTATTGTGGGTAATCATGATAACTATTATAAATGTCATTACAAATTACAAGAATCAGTGAAACAGTTTTTTGGAAGTCAATATTGAAGCTTTTTTAGTTATTAAAAGCAATTTTGGAAATTCAGGGCAGCAAAATAATAATATATAATGATATATACTCCATGATAGTGATTCCTAAATTTTGAGGAAGGGTTGGCTATAGGCATGCACGGCTAAAGATACTATTAATATTTCAGTAAAAGTCTGTAATTCAGGCTTCTCCAGTGCTTGAAAACAAATCAGATACTCTATTTAGTTATGGGATCATTTGTGTGATAATTTATGACCCAGTTGTTCTGTTTCAATGAGTTCAGCTTCTACAAAGGTCAGCAGTACCCAGTAGAACAATAAAGACATTGTGTATGTCATGAGATCATTGCGGAAATAATGCAAATGACATAATTTCTGTTTTTGTGTGCTAATCTGTTAAACATGTGATATCAATTCTCTGTAGATGCCCATGATAGAAGTAACACTCTTATTAATCCAAATTTGACCTGACCTTTAAAGAATTGATAAGCTTTTGACATTTGCCATAGGGAAAATTGGATGGAAAGAGATGTAATAAATGAAAAAAAAATGTGGGTAAACTACTGCTGTGACTCTTTCACTTTTCATTACTAGATGAAGCAATAATGATATAGCCATATATACGATGATACAAGATCTAAATGATCACAGATGAGACTATTTGCATTCTTCATGATTGTTGTTGTTGTTTTCATGGTGCTTGGTGGTTGTTTAATTATGGTTTTTATTTTGACTTCTGTTATCCCTTACCGTAAACATTTTATTGACTCCTAGATTCTAATTATCATATGTTGCCATTGCTGACTTCGGAGAGTCTGATTCAATTAAGACAGTATACACATTTGAAAAGTAAGTAAAAATGTTTGATTTAGTGTGTGAATCTAAAAAAGTCATTTAGAAGGAATTCTAGTAATTGTTACATATCAAATGTGAGTTCTAATTATAATACAATAATGTTCAAATCCTTTCTTCTCTTTCTTCTGTACATTCTATATAAAAGGATAGAAATATGAGGTACTATTTCCAACTCCTCCTTGTTTTTCAATGGCCAAATCCAGTATGCTTGTTTATGATCACATGACACCTACTTCTCATACTGATACCCTTCAGATGTGTCAGATCCCCCTTCAACATAGATAAGAATGATGAGTATTACATTATAATATCTCTGGAGATCTTTGACTCCAACATTTCCTTCTAGTAATTTTAGAAGTTAGAATAGAACTTTTCTCCTTCTTGATTCAGGTTTATTCTACGTGATAGGTATTGCTATTTGATGCTAGATCATATGCTTTGTGTAGAAAAGTCTGCTTGCTAAAGCGTTGAATTTTTGTTGGGGGTAACCCCACTATTGTATTTATCCCTACCCTTATCCCAACCCCATTCCCTAACCCCATCTAATATCCATACCGACCTTATCCCTTCCCTACCCTTATAAAACATTTATTAAAAATGGATTTTATAATAGCAAAAACGAAAATGAAGGACACTGGATGGACAGGCACATGGACAGGCACCATGCAATAAATAAATCAAAATTATCCCCAACATGCTAAACCAGAACTTGGAAGTAAATGTGCAGTGTACTGCCACATTGGATTAAAATTTTAAAATCATCTTGTTTTAGTAGGAATATTTATGAGTATTGAGAAGCCATTAAAACCCTCTATTCTCTACTAAAAAAAATAATTACAAAAAGAACTGTTTGGATAAGATACATCCAAAGAGAAAAGTGCACTTGAGAAAGTTACAACATATAAAAAAAAACATATATTAAAGGTAGCTGAATTTTAAAATGTGCTTAGGTGTAGTTCCATTTATTTCTAGTTTATTTCTAATTTATAGTGACTTCTCAGAATTAATCTCCAGTGCTGCTACTAATATAATAATTGTGTGTTGCTTTTTTCCCTTTTTTTCAGACTTCCAAAGACTTGGAAAAGCCTGAATATTAATGGACACAGATACAATCCTTACAACATTCTACTTCTAAACATACAGTTTTCATTTACAACGTTGTATAAATTAAAATCCTACTGTTGGGTTCTAATTCTCTATCTTAAATCTTTGTCTCCATCTTGGCAACCAAAAGTCTGTAAATATTGTTCCCTTGAAAAATTAGTTCTGGACCTTTGAACGTTATTGCATTCTAATAAAGCTATTGTACTGTATCACTTGCCTTGCGTTTCTTGTTAAATTAAGACTAACTCACTTTTAATGAGTTTCTTTTTATTTTTAAGTTGAAAAATTGCACAGTTTGGGTTTGGGATTGTTTTAGGTTTTTCATTGAAATATGGCTGTCCTTTTCATCTAATGCAACATGTGCAAGAACTTTCAAAATTCAGAAATCAAACAATTCATATCTGTCTGAACAATTCATTATTCCTCTCTTTTCTCCTCTTCCAGATTTTTTTCAGATCCATGACAGAGAGTCAGATCTCACTGACACTATAATGTGGAGGTTCTCCCATGAAGAGTTGTGCATGTAGATTGAAATTTTAGAGTAGGGAACAGAGTTTCTGCAATTGTGAGTACAAACAGTTATTTATATTTGTTCGGCTGTTGGTTTGAGTTCCGAACTTGGCTACTGAGCTACTTGTGATTGTTAGTGGTGTTTTTACTGAGCTACTTGTGATTGTTAGTGGTGTTTTTAATTGATTGTTTTTAATTGATTGTTTTTAATTGATTGTCAGCCGCCCTGAGTCCGCAAGGAGAAGGGCGGGATATAAATTCAAATAATAAATAAATAAATAAATAATATTCAAACACATTTATTTATAGTTGTAAATGACCTTTGATCTAAGATGATACTGGGAGTAAATAAAACCAAGGTATGACCCCCTTTAAATATTGTAGAATATGATTAATAATTTATTTATTTATTTATTTATTATTTAAATTTATATACCGCCCTATCTCCCTTACGGGACTCAGGGCAGTGAACAGGCAATAATAAAAATCACAATAAATATTGAATAAAAAGCCTGCTCTAAAATACCCCATATAAAACCCCTAACAAAGCCCAATCAAAACTACGCCAGGCCGGCCGCATGGAATAGATGGGTTTTCAAGGCTCGGCGGAAGAGGCTCAGGTCTGTAGTTGTACGTAAGTTGGGGGTAGGAGCTGCCACAGAGAAGGCTCTCCCCCTGGGGGTCGCCAGCCGGCATTCACTGGCCGATGGCACCCTAAGGAGGCCCTCTCTGTGGGAGCGGACTGGTCGAAGGGAGATATTTGGTAGGAGGCAGTCTTGCAAATACTTAGGTCCATTGCCATGGAGCGCTTTAAAAGTTGTTACTAACACCTTGAAGCGCACCCGGAAGGTCACCGGCAGCCAGTGCAGCTCGCGCAGGAGAGGTGTTACATGGGAGTATCTAGAGGCCCCCAAAATCCCCCACGTGGCCGCATTATGAACTAGCTGGAGCCTCCAGGTGCACCTCAAGGGGAGCCCCATGTAGAGAGCGTTTCAATAGTCCAGGTGGGAAACAACGAGGGCATGAGTGACCGTGAGTAGGGCGTCCCGATCCAGAAAGGGGCGCAACTGGCGTATCAGGCGAGCCTGATGAAAAGCCCCCTTGGCCACAGCCGTCACATGATCATCTAAAGACAGCCGAGCATCCAGGAGGACGCCCAGGTTGCAGGCCCTCTCCGTGGGAGCTAATGACTCGCCCCCGATAGCCAGAGATGGAGCCAACTGGCTATGTCGTGACGCCGGAAACCACAGCCACTCGGTCTTGGACGGGTTGAGTCGAAGCCTGTTCCTCCCCATCCAGACTCGCACGGCCTCCAGGCACCGGGACATCACTTCCGCGGCATCGTTGGGGTGGTCCGGGGTGGATATGTACAGCTGGGTGTCATCTGCGTACTGATGAAACTCCACCCCGAAACCACGGATGATCTCACCCAGTGGCTTCATATAAATGTTGAACAGGAGAGGCGAGAGGACTGACCCCTGTGGTACCGCACAAGTGAGGCACCTCGAGGTCGACCTGTGCCCCCCTGCCAACACAAATTGTGACCAGTCCGAGAGGTAGGAGAACCACCGTAAAACGGTGCCCCCCAACCCCAACCCCCCTAACTGGTGCAACAAGATACCATGGTCGATGGTATCAAAAGCTGCTGAGAGGTCTAGCAGGACCAGGATAGAGGAATAGCCTCTATCCCGAGCCCTCCAGAGATCATCGACCAATGCTGTTTCCGTGCTGTGCCCAGGCCAGAAGCCGGACTTAAAATAAACAGCCCTGTCTGCAGGGGAGGTAATGAAAGATCAGAGGGATATATAAGCATACTTCTTCCACAGTATGATAGCAGAAGTCCCATAACTTTTCTATGTGCATCAAATAATTGCCTGTATATCCCAAACAGGTGAGGGTTGAGCTACAATGCTGTTTTTGTCAGAATGATGAAAGCAGTGAAAGCTGCAGATACTACTGAAAATAAAGAATGAGTAAAATGATAATCTGTAGAGGTTGCTCTATTCTTGTCAAGACCTCCTTGAATATTTCTCATTAAAAAAATAAGGCAAAATCGCACATTCTTTCATATCTTTTTTTTTTTTTACTTAGGGGCACACTGGTACTGAATCCACATCTGCTTTCTGTTACATAATTTCTGATAATGGACTTCTTCTTGCCTGATTCTTGGATGTTACGAATATGATTCTCAGATGATGGCTTAATGCTTATGCTTAACTGGTTAATAATTCTGTGACTGAATCTTTGTGCCCCTGTATTTTGCTGAATGCCAGCTGTTACTACCATAGTAACCTGACTTGTGACTGATGTTGCCTGTGGATTGCTGGGGTGAACAAAAGATGGAGCTATCTCCCCCTCCTGCTGTCCTAATTATTACGGCTGTGCACCCTTCAAAAGTGACTGAGAAGCACTTTACTCTTTGAATTGAGTGCAGCCCTCTTTGCTATCCACTTAAGCAGCTTGATTCCCCCCCCCCCCCAGATTTCTGTCTCAGCCTAAAAAATAGGTAGAGCTGCTTTAAGAAGTCCACTTAGGCTGAACACAACAGTCTCTTTGTTTCAAGTTTTGTGTGAAATGTAAAAAAAAAAAATAATAGACTGCTTCAATCTCTGCTCACCCAAGAAACAAAGCCTTTGTTATGAATCATTTTTGTAGTGCAAACAGCCTTACATCCCTCCCTAAGATTTTACCATCAGCTTCATGTTGAAACGTATCCTCATTTGCACAAGTATGATTCTTCTTTTCCCAATTTTAGGGCACAATCAGCTGCCAGAATCAAATCATTTTCTCAAGTGCACAAAGGTAGTGTCTATCCCAGTGAATTTTTATATGGAAGCTTGTATTGTGTACAAGTTATTTCGCCTATGAGCACCCAATCTGAAAAGTGCAGCAGATTTGCTGATCTTTATATCACTTTGATTTTTAAGATCAGAAGGATCACAGGCTCTTTTATATAACTCCAAGCTGAAACAGCTTCTGATCTTTTAATCTGACTTGGAGACCTACTGCTACTGGGAACCAATGCCTGAAGCAGTGTCATGGTGTCATGCCACATAATATTGCTGCTCTGAGGCAGGTACATATAGCCACACACATAGAAAAAAAGGATGAAACTGGGTTGTGATACTGTCATGACACCCCTTGCCCTCCAGTGGATGTTGCTGCTTGTTTTAATAGTGCAGTTCACATACATTGGTTGCAGCTTGTGAATGTCCAAGTGATAATGGTCACAAGTGCTTTTTGCCTTGGTGACATCAAGATTGACTTATTGTCATATACTGTGTAGAACAGACATGTCAAACTCGCGACATCACATGACATCGCGTGACATATCGGAGCTTTTCCCCCATTGCTGGCAATGGGGTGGGGGCGGTTTCCTCATGACACGTCCGGCCCATGGGCCAGCAGTTTCACACCTCTGGTGTAGAATATTTGACTATTCCATTTAATTCAAAACTAAAATGTAAACTTCTTTATTCATGATGTTGTCTATATAAAACTTGCATTTACCAACTTCATTGATATCTAGTCTGTTTCATTAGAAGTCATCACTAAAACATAGTGGTCAGCAATTATTTCAGATGAATAGATAAGCCCATATTGGAAGAAACATTCCTTTGAAAATTGTGATTCCTGGATAATTAGGATTTCATAATCTGAGACGTTGATGAATTATCTCCTTCAAGGTCACTTGCTTTATCTTTCAGTTCATCATTGATAGCCTGATAATCCCATTGGGCTGTAGTTTGTGAAAGATGTAACACACAAACATGCACACGCAACCTCTAGTATAGGGGTCCCCAACCTGTGGGCCATGGCCCACTACTGGGCCACAGCCTATTCACCTGGTGGGTTGGCATGCGTGGGCACACATGTGCCCCAGTCACATGAGGGGTGGGCACTGGTGCTCACAGCCTTACTTGTGCCATAAGTGAAGCTGCGTGCATGCACGTGCGCACCTGCCACATGCATGACCATCCCCTCTTTCCCCCTCCTCCCTGTGCCAGGCTGCCAATCCAGAATGATTGGAGAATGCTGCTCTACTATATTTTGTCAAATAATAAAGAGTATCATAAGCTCCCTTCCTATCAGAAAAACAAAATTCCAAACTTCATTTTTTAAAAATGTGACTATACAGTCTAATTAATAAAGAGAAAGGATACCGCTATGCCATCTGCTCATCATATCTTCAATAATAAGGGAAACAAATATACACATGCACACTGCAGTGATCACATCTGCTGCCTACAGCTTAAACTTGAATTTTCTCTGGAAGTAACCATGATGCTCATCCACCTGTAATTCTATTGTGTTTCCATGTCTACACAGTTCAGCACTGATTTTTTGCACTTATTATGTATTATACATATGCTTTGTATGTGGCTTTTCTCATTCAAGCTGAATTTCACTGCATTTTCAATTACAAAGGATGGGGTCTTTTATTTTAATGTCAGGCATATAATTAACAGGCGCTAAGAAGCTCTTTTCATATTCCATTGAAACACAGGGAAAATTTGCACGATGTCACTGCCTTTATATTGGTTTGCCTTCAAATTAGAAAAAATGAGCTGATAAAAGCATAGCCAGACAGTTGGCAATAAACCAGTCTTGCTATAATTAAAGAAATAATGACTCTGAGAGGATGTGAATTACTTCAGTATTATGCAATCTCCAGTCAAGTACCTTTGTTCCAGAAGAT